TATTGTCAGATATATTTTTTTCAAATTACTGTGATAAATTATACAGACATGAAGTCCAAAGATAATATGGTGCATACACTAGGTATTAAATAAATGCTGTCTGAAACCAGAGACAAACTCATTATGTTTTGAGGACTCTTGCTTGTCTGTAGAATAAGTTGAAGTACTGATTCCAAAATAAATAAAGTATACTAAATAACTAACTACCCGTTGCCTCACTAATTAGGGCTGGATGAACAATATATGCTGAATCTTCATTCCACAAACGTAGAAATCTCTGACAGCCCCACAATTCTTCAGAATGACCCATTAGAAAAAGGTCCACTTAATTGAAACTCTTAATTGCAAGAGGGGAAGGGCCTGGTTTATTGTTTACTCTTGTCTATACTTATCCCTGCTTCAAACAGAATATGTCAACTCTATTCTCCTGTTATTCACTATATTTAAAGCAGGTGCCCTCAATTGCTGTAAACACTGGCCTTCAGGTTCCTTATTGCGCTATAAGATTGGCAGGATATCTAATGGGAAAGGTGCAATCATTTGCCATCTTGACTCAGTTTTCATGGACCAGTCTCTTTTCCCCAACTGTGAATGTGCTCTGCTTGTCAGCAGAGTAATTAAAAGGTTCAGTGGGTAAATATTGCTATAAGTAGTTCAAAAATAAATTGTCATTTTAAAAGACAGACGGAGAGACAAACACAGATGGATAATAAATGCATGATACATGGACTGATGTGGAACTAGAAAAAAGAAACGCTGGCACCATTCTTCACTAAAAGAAGACAGGCAGCTAAATTTAAGGGTGGTGGAAGCCCATAAAGGAATAAGTTGTAATCGTGAGGCACATTATGGTATTCAATGGCAGGCACTTTACGAGAGAAAAAAATCAATATAACCATTACAGTTGTAAACTAAAGTCGGGGTTATTGTTTCATTTGTCAAGGTTTTAGACCACAGAGTAGGAACATTTAAATGAATGATTTAAATCAAGCTAATCCTTTTGAGATTGTCCATTTATCCAAAACATTAAACTTAATTGGCGCTTCAAGACAGATTACTTTTTCCTTTCCATCCTGGTTGTCTTAACTCTCACCACTGGCTTTAGCTTTTTTTTTTTTTTTTTAAATTTTAACTGGCTCCTTAAGTCCCATAATTGCAGTTAATATATATATCCACTATCACTGCTAGGCTCACTAATTTCTGACAGCTCCTAACATCTCCAAAATTCCAAAAGGGGGAAAGGAACATTTATGACAAAATATGCTTATATTTTATCCATTTGAAGACAAATTCATACCATAATATCCATTTTCTCTTAAGAAAAATAATCACAGGCATTTGCTATAATCTGGTTCCAAATATCATTGTACTGTTGTACTGTTTGGGGATTTTTTTGTTTTTGTTTTTTAATTACTATCATTAAGAAAGCAAGCCAAGAGAAAGCAGTCACTTGCAGCCATAACTTGTCCGACATCTGCTATTCTTGGTTTTCCATGAGTAATGTACAGAATAGAGGGAAAGGATGAGGAACTTCATACAGCAGAAGGAAAAGTAAGTGTACTATAGCTTGCCATGACTATTTGTGGTATTTGAAGTTCCTTGGAGAAATTTGTGTTTGTTTGTTGTTTATTTCAAGCTATCCTTCCTGTGTGGCACTCAAATCTGCTCCATATGCTTTTTATTAATCCTCTCAATGGTTCTGCGATGCCCTTATTTTTCAGATGAGAACAGTAATTTAGGGAGCCTGGAATGATTTTTTTTCCCTTAAAGACTCACAGCTAGTATGTGACAGAATTGGAGTTTGTATCAGTACCCCATAGGTAAGCTGATAACACAGTCCGCACTCAGGCAGTGAGGGTCAAAGGAATTAATACATGCAGAGCACTTAGAGAGATGCCTGGCACAGATCCAGCCCTTGATAAGTGATTACTGTATCTTTGGGCTTATTCTGCTAAGTTCTATGAAGGAGAAATGAACAGTACTTTGGAATGTCCTAAAGCAATAATTCTCAGCATTGATAATGGACCACCCACATTAAAAATAATCTGTTTATTAAAAAGGAAAATTCTGGACGCTGTCCTAGATCTCCCAATGAGAAACTAGAAGTGGAGCTAGGAAATCTCAATCTTCAATAAACATCTCTTCAGAAATTTTGAGCACATTAAAGTTTGAGAAGTGTACTATAACTTGGTCAGGTTTATTTGTATAATTCATAATGTGATTTTTCCAAGGCGATGTATAAATAATTTAAGATAGTAATGATAATAGGAATGACAGATTAAAGTTTACACTTGTTTGGTGCTACATTACTTGTATATTTTATAATACTGTAAGTTAAATATCTAGTGAATTAGAAATTTGACCAAAGTTCCTACTCATTTTCCTTATCACTTCCATATTCAAATATCTGTTATAAGAGATGAGCTTAGTCGAATCCATTCCTGTAGTCTCAGCTTTCTTACATTCACAGGTCAACAAGAATTTTCAGTTTTCTGATAATTAGTTCTCCTAACCTATTATTGAGGAAGCCACAGGGGTGAGTCAGGAACTGCTGCCTATATTGTTCTTATATCCACTTAAGTCCAAACACAATGCAGTGTTTTCAATTATCCAAGGTCACAGAGACCCAGAGAAGCCTGATAATTGAAAACTTGGTTAATAGGAAATGACCAGAGTGGAGTGAAGCAAAAGCTCGTTAGAAGCAATAAGGATGCAAGCAGTGAGCTAGAATTAAGGGGACCCTTCACATGTCTAATCAAGTATACCTTCTAGCAGCATCAACGTCTTAGCAAATGTTAGGTGCAAAGGTGGACATGTAATATGTCACCCATCTCCTCTGTTCCTTCAACCACCGTTCTGTCTTCCTTCTCTCATTGTTTCATCTGTTTTTCTACCTCATATGCATTATAACTCATTTAAAACATTATTTAAGCTAAAATGCTTAATTGCTTTATTTAAATTTTTAAAATCTGCAATTAGTAAATCCATTAGAGAATTCTGTACCTGTTATACATACCTACAACTCCATCACTTTTCAGTTAAAATAGTCTCCTCTATCCAAGTTTAAATATCTCAAATACATAGGTTGCTCTTCAGAAATAATACAAGGCACATTATTCACTCTGGGTTCAGAGTGCTAGATTATCACATAATTAGATCCTATGAAATCTTTTAAAGATAGTCAAAATGAAGCCGGGTTTCTGGTATAAATGCAAAATGTCAAAGATACAGCCAATGAAAACACTGATTTTCAATGTAGTCCTGTGCTCCAGACAATAACATTTCTTTTTGAAATAATGGCTTCTGCTTCATGTCCATAAAGCATATGAAAGAAAAATATGATGTAATACTCATATTCAATCATATCAATGTCAAAAAGCCATTGTTTTGTGAAAGCGTGTTTTAGATGTTTGAAAAGTACTATGTCAGAGGACTCAATGGTTTGCCTCAAAGATATTCCTGGCATGTTTCACATCACACTGTATTCATTATTGCCATCAACCAGAGCTGTCTCTACACACAGACTTGGGAGTCTGCAAACATGACAAATGCCAACTGACTTTCCTCTATTGGACAAAACCCAGAAACTTAGGTAGAACCACTTAATTTAGCGCCCCAACTTCAAGGAAGTTCCACAGATTGTTGAAAACACAAATCTAAGTATTTAGATGTCCTAAAATGCAAAAGGAAAATGCAATTGTTGCTATTTTGCATGTGAGAAAACTATGTCCCCAAATACCTGATGCTTTCTTGAGGAAGGAAGGGAAACATATCCTAGATCTTAGATCTGTCAATAAAATACTCATTTCTTTGATAGAATGAAAACAATAAAAACTAAACACACAGAACTTCTTTCCTTGGTTGGGAGGGGAACTAAAAACATCATGAGCTATTATTAGAACACAATAGTGATTAGTAATTGCAAAAGGGATCCAGTGGCATTTTTCATTCTGAATGTGGTCTGGTGCTATTATTAACTGGATTCTTCTAAACTGGGGAGGCTGCTCTTGATCTCAATCACAGCCCCTACAGTGGCGTGAGTAGAGGTAGCATATGCTGGAGTGATGGTGTCCTCTGAGACAGTTGTCCCTTGTCTCTCTGTCTTCCAATATATCACATATCAGTAGAGGCAGATATTAGCAAGCAATATGATAACTGAAATTTGATGATGCTTAGAGAAAACTCGATTTACGAAAGGAATTATTTTGATTAATAATAGAGTTTTTATGTTTTGGAAATGAACGCGAAAGTTGTTACCAAAGTCAAAGCTCTCAACATCAAGACTAATGTAAGGGTGAGTCATTCCTATATTTATACTTACCTTGATATATAATGTTTAAGATGCATAAGCTCCAAAATGGAAATAAGATGTATAATAACAATGGCAATAATAATAACACGAGCTAACATTGCGAGTACTATGTTCTAAACATTTTGTGTATAATTTGTAAACTACATTTATAAATTAATCCTACCAACAGTCTGATAAGAGAGTTGCCGTATTATTTCTATTTTACACATGAGGAAGTGGGTATAGAAAGATTAAATAACAGGAAATTATCTCTTTATTTCCCACAATTTCCTCATTTAAATTTGTTTTCTTCTGTACCCATGTAGAGCATCTCACCTCACTGATTTGCAGAGCTGATATTCAGGGACTCAGAACATGGTCACATCTTCATGTATGCATGTTGTTAAATACATTTAATATCACCCAAACCATATGCATGTGTATACCATAGTTTCTTCCCCTATATTTCTAAGATGGTTGGAAGTTAAGTCTATTACTGCAGAAATTACTATCCAATGCATAAATTTCCTATCTCCTTCCTTACTATAGCCTGAATGTATGTGTTCCCTCAAAATGTATATTTTGCAACCTAATCCTCAATGTGAGGGTATTTGGAGATAGGACCTTTGGGAGCTTATTAGACCATGAGGGTGGAGCCCACATGAATGAGATTAGTGACTTTTAAAGAGACCCCAGAAAGATCCCTCACCTTTTCCACCATGTGAGAATACAGCCAGAGGATGGCCATCCATGAACCAGAAAGCATGCCTTTATCAGAAAACAAATCTACCAACACCATGATCTTGAACTTCCCAGCCTGCAGACCTGTGAAAAACAAATGTTTATTGTAAGCTATTTCGTCTATGGCATTTTTGTTACAGCAACTCAAAGATAGTAAGCCATTCTCTGCCTAGATTCTGACTTTCCAAAGGCAAGAATTAATTTGTGCATTATTTCCATTATACGGCAAAGTACTTTACATGTAGTGGTGCTTAATAAGTATAATTGAGTAAATGGAAGAAATTGGTGGCACTGACATTATTTTCTCATTTAGAAACAAGGGAAAATAATCTGACATCAAAAAATAGGTATGAACATAGATTAAAAATATAAAATATGTATACTTACCTGGAAGGGGAGATGCCATGATCACACAGGTGGTCTTTCCAGGGTCAGGCTTATCCATTACATTCCTGATCCCTGTGAGATCCCCAAATGTAGGAAACCTGAGTGTATAATTTGTTATAGTGGGGGACTGTGTTCATACTTTCCCCTGAAAAAAAGTATAAAACATGTTTAGGAAACTATAAAGTGCCTTCTATTTAAGAATCCATTTGCCACACACACTGGACTTACAGCAGCAACAGTTTAAGGATTGCTCTTACCTAAAAACAGAACAAGATCACAACTTTTGGCTGTTCCAAAGGTCAGATTCACTTACTGAAAGCTTATGCCACAACTACTCCACTATAGTTATTTTAACAACTGTACAGAATCTATATATGCTTCTTAATTTAAGAATATAGTTCCTAAAATAGCAACAAAAAAAGAAAAAAATTCCAACCTAAGAAGATTAAGTATATTCCAAATAGATACAATTGAAGTCTGGCCAAACCATTTATGAGTCAATGTTCTGCTTCTCATATGTTCTACTCACTTTAAATGATCACAAGAGATTTTTTTTTTCTCCTGCAGCTTCTGTGTTTCCCAAAGATAAGTAATGATATGCCTCTTCCTCATTATAAATAAGCCTCAGTAATCCATTTTTACATTAATGGACTATTTGGCTCTGAACTTTTAAATCACCTGTAGTGTCTGCACCACTCCAAACTGTGAGACAAACTTTGCCTAGATTAAAACTTCCACCAAAATGATCAATTCCATTTTATACCTGTACACATTCTTCTCCGCATTTGGTACTTCAGTTTCTACTAACAAGAATCCACAAAACTTATTTCTGATCCCATATTTTCTATCGATAGTACCAGTTTCTTTAAAGCAAATGTCCTAATGTCTAGATGCCTAAACAAGTCTTCTGAACCTCTTCAAAGTCTAGTCTGTCCATCTATCCACTGATTTCTTGCGTTGGAATCTTGTTGATCATTTTATCCAGCTGCTTCTGATTGACATTCTGAAAATGCATCTCAATTTAAACACTAAAAATCTCCCAATTTGGGGTGCCTGGGTGGCGACCGACAGCTTCCCCTTTGTTCTTAGTGTTTCTGCTTGAGCATCATACCCTGGAGTGCTTTTTTTATTGAGATCAGGAATGACTTGTCCCCTCATTCTGGACCTGGTATGATGATTGCACCTGGTCAGGGACTTGTGATATGGAGCGACAGTGATGGTCAGTGGCCTGGCAATTAACACTAGAGCTGAGCAACTGATTATTCTAAAAGGTCAGATCCCACCCTTTAACAGTTAATAAAACAATATTCTCAAATAAAGTAGCACACTATTCCTGGGCATGGATGACGTTGTGAGAACGATAGGCCCTGTGGCTAATGTTAAAGGTATCTTCTTCCTTTGAGGTTGTGAAAGTAGACACTGTGTCTGCTGGGAGATCCTGTTTTCCTGGATACTTCCCTTGAGCTATCAACAGGCTAATGACCCTTACTCATAAAAGACTGACCTTTACACATACAATTCTGTTTGTTTCTTGGTAAAAGGTTTTTCTCAAGGCTATGCTGGAAACACTGTATATCTTACTTTTGCTTAAACGTTGGAGAATATGTACTCACAAAAGAAAATACCTTCCATCCCCATATGATAAGCCTGAGTGCTTATAGCTAAGTTGTTTCACTAATGCTAAGATTATACATGAGACTTCTGCAAAATCTATGTAATTCATCTACTAAGGCAAGCCACTTTTCTTGTTCCCTGTACCTTCACATATAAATAGAGTTGAGAACCCAGACTGAGCAGAGGCCTGCCTGGTGATCAGAAAGAATCTCAGGGCCCTCTCATCACTCTCTTGCTGACACCATCCATCCTTCAGGGACCCCTGGACTGGCTGGAGTAGGACTCTGGCATAAAAGTAGGGTCACTGAATAATTTGAGTTCAGGTAGAGGTCCCATGATGGTTGTGAATAAAGAATGATAAAAAGTAGAATAAAAAAGTAACATTCTTTTTTTTTTTTTTTGGTTTGCTTTTTTAAGTTTTAATTTTAATCCAGTTAGTTAAAATACAGTATAATATTAGTCTTAGGTGTATGTTTATTACCTGTTTTCAATATATGGTTACCAGTAGGATACCACTAGGTTTGTATACAACCTCTTCTGCGTACAGCAGTCTAGCTTAAGTTGATGGCTATTTAAGGCTCAATGCAGTCTTTTCTCCTTTCCTCCCAATGATTTATATATATAATATATATATATAATATAATATATATATAATATATAAAATCCCTTTTATTGTGAGTTCATTGACTGAGTTTTTACAAAAATGTTTTACAAAAATAATTTGTACTGATTTTGTGTTTCCTACCTTCATACTGTCCACTTTTGTTCCTCCTTTCCACTCCAAGAGTTCTTTCCAATATTTCTTACATGGCTGGTTTAGTGGTCATGAACTCTTAGTTTTTGTTTGTCTGGGAATTCTTCATCTCTCTTTTTATTCTGAATGATAATCTTGCTGGATAGAGTTTTCTTGGCTGAGATTTTTCCATTCAGCATTTTGAATATATCATGCCACTCTCTTCTTTTTTGCAAACTTTCTGTTGAAAACTGTCCCACTACCCTTATGGATTTCCTTTGTAAGTTATGGACTTTTTTTTTTTTTTTTTTGCTGGTTTTAGATTTTTTTGTCACTGTAGTTTGTAAATTTAACTACAATGTCTTGTTATTGACCTCCTTTTGTTGATTCTGATGAGAGTTCTCTGTGTCTCCTGAACCTAGATATCTTTTCCCTTCCCTGGAAAGAACAGTCTTTAGCTATTATTTCTTGAAATAAATTTTCTACCCCTTTTCTCTTTCTTATTCTGAGACTCCTATAATACAAATGGCATTATGTTTAATGGAGTTACTGTTCCCTAAATCTATTTTCATTTTGCATAACTCTTTTCTCTTTTGTTCAACTTGATTACTTTCCATTACTCTGTTTTCTAGGTCACTAATTCATTCCTCTGCTTCTTCAATCCTGCTATTCATTCCATCAAGTGTGTTTCTAATTTTAGTTACTGAGCCCTTTATCTCCACTGTATTATTCTTTCCTTATCTCCATGTTAAGGGTTTCACTCTTTGCTTAGGTCCAGAGAGTATCTTTATGATTATTGATTTAAGTTCTCTATCAGGAATGTTACATATATCTATTTTGCTTAGATCAATGGCTATGGCCCTGTTCTATTCTTTCATCTGGGATAAATTTATCTTTCTCCTCATTTTTTATGCCTCTCTGTGATATGTTAAGAGAGTCAGCTGTGTCTTCTGTTCTTTAAAGTAGTGACTATATGAAGAAGAGTTCCTGGAATGCACTGCAGTTCTATGTTTCCTGTTCACCAGAACCTTTTCCTTCAGGAGAGTATCCCATGTGTGTCGTTTACACCCTGCTGTTGTCTGAGTTACTTTTCCTTTCAGGGCAGTCATGTGCACTGACTCTGCCTATTCTGTACTGTGCTTACTCTCTATGATGTTAGTGGGACCCAGTCAGGCCAAATGTGAGGGAGTGTCCCTGCTGCGGCACTTGGGAGTGGAGTTTGGGGTGCAAACAAAATATGCATTGGTCCACTAATTATGTGCCAGATCTCCTAAAGTGTTCCAGTGGTTAGGGGTTGCTCACTGGTTGGCTGGGGTTGCAAAGCTGTCCAAGGCATGATATCCCTGTACTGTGCATGGTGGCAGCTGTGCATCTGGTGATTGAGTGTGGCATGTGTGTACCTTTAACAAAATTTGCCATAAGCCCTGGGCTTAAGGTACAAGTATCTATGTAGGCCCACCCTCCATAAGTGGGTCTGTTTTGATGCTGGGAGTGGGGGAGGAAAATGGTACCTGCAGCTTCCTCTTTTTTCAGAGAAGTTCTCCCTCTGAAATCAGAATGAACAGATCTGTCTCCCATTTTCCCCAGGGCTGTATAAATTGTTGTTTTTATGCTACCTGTTGGCACAGGCTGTTGTCTCTTTAAGGGCAGAGACTCAACTATCACTTGCCCACCTGTCTGGCCCAGTCCTGAGTCAGTTGACTTCTAAAGCTCGAGATTCCCAGTCCCACATGTTTACAAACTCATGGAATTCAGCCTCTCTGGTTTTTAAAGCCAAATAGTAAGGGTAATAGTGTTCGCTGTATGAGCTCCCTGTTGCAAAGGAACATTTCTCTGCCCTCTCTGCAGGTGCTGCTTCCTCTGTTCTGTGGGCAGCCTCCCTCTCTCTGCCTTTGTGACCTTCCTAAACTTTCAGATGTGGAATCTTCCCTATATTTAGTTGTGGAGTTTGTTCTGCCAGTCTCCAGGTTGCTCCCTGGGTTCCTGACTTGGATGTGGATGAGGACTAGTTGTGAACATGGAACAGGGTCTTCCTACTCTGTCTTCTTCCCAAGCTCCCCTCAGAAATAGCATTCTTAAGGCAAGAAAAATAACCTCACTGCCTATAAAACTTAGACCTTTTATAGTCAAATCTGATATATCAGTATATATGTACTGATTGTTCTTTTTCTTCTGCCTTGCACAGTAGAATTTTCCTCAGAAATAGTTTCAAATATAGACTGGTGCAATCATTTTCCTCAAAGTACTTCTTCATGCACAAATGTAAAATCATGTTCAAAATTTTGCTTCTAAGCCATGACAAGTATTGATGCTGCTTTTATTCCAACTATTTTTCCTATTAGTAGTGGAGGGAAAAACATACCAACTATATATTATGACAATTCATAGCACATTTTCAGAAGAAATCAATATATTTCAGTTCTAATGAAAAGTATATCTATGTATATTCAATGGTAAGGAAATAACATCTAAGAAATAAAAAATGGGGTCTGTGGTAAAGAAGAGGACCTCAGTAAGGATCAAAAGTATATGAGTTATTCTTACCAATAATTAAACAGGTCAAGTCTGGTCAAATAGTCTATTGATAGGCAAATTGCAATTGTTTCTAGAATCCTAAGGGAAAAGTTTAATTTTTTATTGCTTTGATGAAAGTCTCTACACAATGCTTCACATAACCCATATATTAGGCTCTTCTCTAGGAGAAAACCTTTGTTTTAGAATACCTAATGGATTTTCAAGGACACATTTTATATTATGTGGCTGAGTTTCTGAGAACGCATGAATTCTTCTCAGTGAAAAGA